TGGAAACCCTGTAGGGCAGTTCTACTCTGCACACATGGAGTCACCATGAATTGGAATCAACTCCATGGCAACTAACAACAACAACACAGCTTCTCAAGACTAATTTGAAAGAAACAGTTTTGAGTGTGTAAATTCCAGTTATCAGTGTCATTTCTGTATTGGTCATATTCCATGTGCACATAAATACAGATGTTGATTACATTTTTTTATTGATTTTATTTGAAGAACTCAACTACAAAGATCCTTGAATCAATTGTACTATGCAAAGTTGGTGATCTTGTTGCAAAGGTAACATAATACAACTGTTAAATGATACTTGTCATGTGATGAAATGAAAGTCGAAGATATTACTCTTGAGATACTGCCTTTTGCAGAGAAGCATTTAATGAATGTTTTACTGCTTTGGCGTATACCATACGATTTTTAAAGTTTGAGAGTTAACAATCAAGAGTTTGTTTGAAAGTTCTTTTATGGCTTCGTTATTGCTGCAGACTTCAAATATGGTCATATTTATTTATCAAAGTGTTTTAATTCCTCTTTAAATACAAAAGCACCATTGAAAATGTTGTCTGGGTGGAGTTTCACAAATACAAGAAATTCTTTAGACAAGGCATGTGTCCAAGCCTGAATCCAGTCTGGCCTCAGATACCAGTCCTTAGATGTTCCTTTATCGACATAGGTAACAATGGGCACTTATTCATTGTAAATAAACGAGAAACTAAGTGAATAAGGGGAGTTAGACAAGATCGGGGTAAGCAATATGCCCTTCTGAGAGGATTCAGTTGTTCTAAAGCCAGCATTTCCTGTAATTTTATAACATACTTTTATGTTTAACGCCTTGGCTCTGTGGTCATGAATCTTATATTACCTGCCATCTTATGGGAACAAGATAATTCAAGTCTTTGTCATCAATGAATTAATACTTATTCTACCTCATCTTAGTTCCTTAGGTCTTTGGTGCTGATCCTATGTGTGGAATTGGACTTCTGTAACAGCAGATGGTCCCAGACTAATAAATCTATAGCCTCTTGACTTGGGGAGTTCGGTAGCCTCTTTGACGTACAACAAAGGCAGAGCATCTTAATTATAAAGTTGTCTTCAAGCCAGGGGCCTTTTTATCCTTCAATGGCCAATGGAAAGGACAACCCAAATTATTCATAGCTGAGAAAATTCTGAAAGGGTATAGTTTGGGGACCCAGTGTGTCAAATTCCATAATAACAAATTCCAAGGACTGTCCCTACTAGCTTGTATTGGAATTTAATTATATGTAGACCTGTGACATGGAGCAATGGTCATCAACACCAGTTTGAACATGTTTTTAATCTGCAAAAATGGTTTGTGGTAATGGGAATTTAGATAGAAAGTCAATCTTAACCTCTCCATGCCTTCCTTGATTATGATGAATTAAGCCTGCTTACCAATGAAATGTATGTAAAATGGCATAGATATGGGAGAAAGAATTGACATAACATAGCAATTGATATTTTTACTCTGAGACCATTAATTTGACTTTTGTCATTATTGTTGCTCATTACAGCTGACACTTTGGATTCCCAAATACTCTTCGTCTGATCTCTAAGTAAACTTGTACTTCTGTTATAGCACTTACCACACCATATTGTAATTGCTTGTTTATTTGCCTGCTAACTCAGCATTTCCTGGAGAAAATTTCCACACTAAGAAGAAGCTCACACCCCACTGAGTGAGAACATTTTCAGAAAACCTATTATGTGACTTTGTTTCTTTAAAGTTTCTCTTTGTGTGGAAAGGTGATAGAAGTCTTTATTTATTTAGTGAACTAGGTATAATTAAACAAAATGAAACTTTATGCAGTGACAACATCATCTTCCTGGCTGGAAAAAAACACATCGGTTCTTAAGTCCCTCTTTCATTTGCTTGTTTGTATGGTTCATTTACAGCTAACACAGCATTTCTGAAATGCCAGCATTTGCTTTTTGTTTTCTGGTGTTGTGTCTAAGCAAAGTAAACTTATATGGGTGCCAACAAGATAATGCCATGTTTTTGTGGAATTCCAAGGGATCAGTTCCCTTTCAAGAGGATTTGGAGGTAGTGTAGTTGGTTCATTAATAAATCTAAAAGTTGATCTCTATTCCAGGCCAATTATCTTCTCATGGAGAAAAGCTATTCTGTGTCTGGCTGTCTCAAATGTGTACCAGTGATTAATATATACTGGAATGAATGGATAAGCGAGTGTGACTAGTGCAACACTTCATGATCAATGTGCTAAAAAAAACAGCAAATAGCAAAATTATTTTGGGGTCTTAAATTCATGATGCGATTTGGATCTGCATGACTAGAACTGAAACTATCTGATCTGAGTCTGCTTCTTAAAGGCTAAGGGTCCTTTGACAATAAGGCAAGGGTCCCCTACGCCCCTCTTGGAGGGAGCTCTGTGGGAGAGAATAAAATATTTGCAGGAGACAAAGATCTGACCCTTCACAAAACCTGAGGAAATTGTGAAAAAAAATAGAATTTCTTGAATATAGTCAGCCTTCAGTTAAATATTCATTGAATATTTGAGTCGATTAGGACTGGACCCTTCATCCTTCATGTGCTGAAGAGCTGATGAAGAGCCATTTTTAATTTCCTAGCAACCTTGATATCACAGGATAGGAGAGAGGACCTCTACTCTTGAGTGGAGTTAGGAGAGCAATGAGGATCTTTGCTGACAGTGTGATATGCCTTTCTCCTTCCCCTCAACCTGTGGGACTCCTGGAGAAACCTCAGAGAAGGAGACCTGTTGACAACTTAAATTGTCTGATTTTAAATTGATCTTTTTCTCTGCGTGAGCATCACAATTTATGGTACTCTGTTAAACTTAGTGATTTTTTAAAACATTAAATAAAGAGGCTTGGAGAGAGGGATTCTTTCTTTCCTTTCACTCACTGTGAGAGTGTTTGTTACACTGAACATCTCTTAATTGCCTAACTAGTCAAACATGTTTATCCACTTGAAAGAGAAGAATGTACTGAATACCAAATACCTACTTTGGATTCATTTATTCAATAAAAATATATCAAGCATCTACTAAGTGAGGGGCACTGAAGATGTAAAGAAGAATTAAATAAGCACAGTCCCTACTCTCACGATGCTTAAACTCTAGTAGAAGGAAGCAAGTAAATACACAAGCAATTACAATATGGCACGGTATGTGCTACGACAGAAGGAAAAATAGTTTGAGAGCACGCAGGAGAGGCACTGACGCAGACTTGGGAGGTCAGAGAAGGCTCTCTAGGTGGAAGAGACATCAATCAGGGACCTGAAGGAAAGGGGAGTTAGCCAAGGATGGGAGCAGGCTGGCAGATGGAGGCAGTGGGAAAAGGATTCCCAGCAGAGGGACTAGCTTGTGCAGAGGCTCAGCACCAATAGAGAGTATGGCATATCTAAGGAACTGAAACTGAGCAGAGAGTTAAAGGAGGGGAGTGGCAAAGGAAGAGGCCAAAGACACAGGCAGGATACATCAGACAGGGCTTTTATAAGCCAGGTTAAGGTGTTGAGTTTTATCCTAATGGCATTAGGGAATTGGGGAACGACAAGATCAGATTTATACTTTTAAAAGATCATTTTGGCTACACTGTGGAGAATGGGTTAGGGTGTATAAGACTGGAGGCAGAGAGTCTAGTTGGAAAGTTGTAGAATAGTCCCAATGAAAAATAATGGGAACTCCATACGAATAATAGCAGTGGGAGTGGACAGAGGTGGATAGATTGAGCCATATTTAAGAGTAAAATTGGCAGGACTTTATGACCAATTGAATAAACGGGGGAGCCACAACAACAACAACATGGTTCTGTCTTGGGCAACTAGATGGGTGGTAGTGCATTCACTTTATTGGAATAACAGAAGGGAAGGTTTATAGCGGAAGAGAGGAGGATGAGCATAATCTGAGATTACTATAAAATATCCACGATGCCATTCTGTTGGCAGTTGGATATATGAGTCTGAAATCCCAAAGAGATGTGCCTTAGACATATAGATTTAGGGATCATCAGCCTGAGGTCCTACAGATGAGTGAGATCTCCCAGGAAGCTATGACCTAGACAGACTCCTGAGGGAGATTAACATTTAAGGAAAAGAGTGGAAGAAAAGAAACTCATACCAAAAACTGAGAAGGTGATGTCGGAGAAAGACAGATGCAGAAACCCAGAAGAGATCAATGGCATGGTAGCTAAGGGAAGAGAATGCTTTAAGGAGGGGTAGTCTACAGTGTCACATTACTGAGGACTGTTGTAGCATGAAAAAAACTCATAGTCTAAATTGAATTAAAATAAAGACATTTATTAAATGGTTTCAAGATGGTTTAAACCAGGAATCTCCACAGACCATGAAAATGGAACCGTGGAGACCAAGGAAAAACAATTACAAAGATATTTTTATAGGTCTGAAATAAAGAATGGGGGCTACGATATTTTGATTGGTTTACAGTGATTGAGGTCAGTCAAAGGTGGGACAAAGTAAAATGGGATTTTTACAATGATTGGTTTAAAGAGTTTTTGTTGACTAGTTACCACTTGGTGATATGTGCTTCGTTGATTAGTTACTATCTAGTGACTATAGGGAGTTTACAGGACACTTGCCAGACATTCATTTCTGGAAACATAGAGGTTACATAAAAGTTCCTTGGAAACAAACTGACAACATTCATTCTTGACTTAGTTACAAAAAGAAACATTCCCTTAGATACCAGATAGCAGGGAAAACTGCCCTTACTCTTTATAATTATTAACCAGCTCAGTTTTCTGGTTCCACAGGTTTTCTAGACAAAATGGATTCCAGGCCTAGACGCTATCTTATCCTCCCTTACTCTGGCCAGGCACCTCATCTGCTTTTAGGGTCTCCGTATCAGGAGCAAAATGAGGGCTGAGAAATATCCATTGGATTTAGCAACAAGGAAAGTGTTGGTGACCTTGACAACATCATTGTCATGAAGCAGTGGGAACAGACACCATACTCCAGAGGGCTGAGAAGATCCCAAGGAATAAGGAAGTGGAAGCACAGAAAAATCAAGTAGTTTGGCTATAAAGAAGAGAGAAGCGAGGGTGGGAAGGAGAGAGGGAAACAGAACTAGAAGGGGATGCAGGGTTGAAAGAAAGTTTGTGTTTTTACTTTATTTGTTTCACAGATGAGAGCAACTCAAGGATGTTCAAAAGTTGAAAGGAAGGAGCCAGTAGAGTGGGGAAGGAAGATAATGTATAGAGGGGAGTCCCTGAGTTGGGTGGAGGGAATAGGATCTAGAACACAGGGGAGGAATTAGCCTTCCACAGGAGAAGACACATTTTTGTATTGTAACTGGAGAAAAAAACGAATGGGTGTAGATAGAGTAATTGTGGAGATGGGCAGTTGAGGGGAAGTTCTTATCTAATAGTTTCTTATATTTTTTATTTGAAATAAGAAGTGAGATCAGCTGCTTGAAGGGAAGTGGAAGAAGGAGAAGTGTAAAGTTTGAGGAGCATGAAGAATTTGGAATGGCTACTGGAGAGAATTGAAGAAACCACCAGGCAGCACTGAGGGCCCAGTTGAGGTTGGAGAACATACTTTACATTGGCACTGATCTGCTTAGTCAGGTGATTTGACCATTAGCCTTTAGAACCCGCAGTATTGATATAAGGAGGCAGTTAGATTGATCCAGTTTTGTTCTATTAATTATATTGGGCTGCAAGTGGCAAAAGAGCTCAAATAATAGTTGCTTAAACATGAAAGTTGATTGTTCTCTTACCTAAAAGTGTAGGTTGAAGAACTAAGGCTGGAACAGAGGTCTGTCATGTCAGGAATCCAGATTCTAGCTCCTTGCTTTGCCATCCTCAGAATTGGGCTTCCATGTCATGGTCCTATGTGGTTTCTCCCGCTCCATCCATCTTGTTTGCATTGTAGCCAGTAGGATGACTGAGGACCAGGAGAAGGGCATATGTCACTTTTACTTACAGCTCACTGACCACAGTTGAATCCAATGGCACATCTAGCTGCAAGGGAGGCTGACAAATATAGTCTTTATTATGTATGGCAATGTGCCCAGCTAAATTACTGAGTTCCTATTTTCAAGAAATAAGAGAAGCCCAGATCTTGGGAGGTACCAAGAGTCACTGTCACAATCAGGATTTCACTGGGTAGGTACAAGAGAATGACAGTTGTGTTAGGAAATAAATGATATTGTCAAAAGGGTAAAGTAATAGGTAATAGTCTGAGTAGGGATTTAATACAGAAGGGAGCCAGTAAAGATTAGGAAGGAGCTGAGTGTCTAGTCATTTTCTTTCAGGTAACCATCCTACCCCCATGTGGCCTATGTACTTCAGGGGAAACTGAATCTCCACCTTCAGGGTGTTTGTGGTGATTTAAGCTATTGCTTCTTTGCAGGGGCACTATTGGCATTTTGGACCGGCCGATTCTTCATTGTACAAGACTGTCCTGTGCACTGCAGGACATCTAACGCCCTGGCCCCCACCCACTAAATGCCAGTAGCACTCCCAGTCATGGCAACATTTCCAGGTACTCCTAAGGGGGCAGTGTTGCTCCCAGTTGAGAACGACTGGTCTAAATTAACCATGGTAGTAACTGTACCAAAAAGAATTGGTCGATCTTCAACCATTTCAGGAGGTAGCATATGATCAAGAACTGATGGTACTGAAGGAAAAAGTTCAAGCTTCACTGAATGTGTTGGCTAAAAACAAGCCCCCAGGAAATGACGGAATACTGAGATGTTTCAACAAATGGATGCAACGCTGGAAGCCAAGAAATTTGGAAGACAGCTACCCAGCCGACCAACTGGAAGAGATCCATATACATGCCCATTCCAAAGAAAGGTGATTTAACAATGTGGAAATTATCGAACAATATCATTAATATCACACACAAGTAAAATTTTGCTGAAGATCATTCAAAAGCGTTTGCAGCAGTACATGGACAGGGAACTGCCAGAAATTCAAGTCAGATTCAGAAGAGGACGTGGAATGAGGGATGTTATTGCTGATGTCAGATGGATCTTGGCTGAAAGCAGAGAGCACCAGAAAGATGTTTACCTATGCTTTGTTGACTATTCGAAGGCATTCGACTGTGTGGATCATAACAAATTATGGATAACATTGCGAAGAATGGGAATTCCAGAACACTTAAGTGTGTTCATGTGGAACCTGTACCTAGACCAAGAGGCAGTTGTTCGAACAGAACAAGGGGATACTGCCTAGTTTACAGTCAGGAAAGGTATGCATCAGGGTTGTATCCTTTCACCATATTTATTCAATCTGTATGCAGAGCAAACAGTCTGAGAAACTGGAGTATATGAAGAAGAACGTGGCATGAGAATCGGAGGAAGACTCATTAACAAGCTGTGATATGCAGATGACACAACCTTGTTTGCTGAAAGCAAAGAGGACTTGAAGCACTTAGTGATGAAGACCAAAGACTACAGCCTTCAGTATGGATCACACTTCAACATAAAGAAAACAAAAATCCTCACAACTGGACCAGTAAGCGACATCATGATAAACGGAGAAAAGATTGAAGTTGTCAAGGCTTTCATTTTACTTGGATCCATAATCAACGCCCATGGAAACAGCAGTCAGGAAATCAAATGCCATATTGCATTGGGCAAATCTGCCACAAAAGAACTCTTTAAAGTGTTAAAAAGCAAAAACGTCACCTTGAGGACTAAGGTGTGCCTGACACAAGCCATGGTATTTTCAATTGCCTCATATGCACGAGAAAGCAGAACAACAAATAAGGAAGACTGAAGAAGAATTGATATATTTGAATTACGGTGTTGGCAAAAAATATTGTATATATCATGGAATGCCAGAAGAAGAAATAAATCTGTCTTGGAAGCAGTACAACCAGAATGCTCCTTAGAACCGAAGATGGTGAGATTTGATCTCACTTACTTTGGACATTGTCTTAGGCTGGGTTCTCTAGAGAAGCAAAACCAGTGAAGCATGGAGATATATATATATATACACACATACACATATATATATGGAGAGAGAGAGAGAGATTTATCTCAAGGAAATAGCTCACATGGTTGTAGAGGCTGGTAAATTCCATGAGTCAGGCATCAGGCTGGAGGCTTCTCCTGACTCATGTAGCTGCAGGGATAGATGAATCCAAGATCAGCAGGTAAGATGGCAGGCTGCTGGCTCACAGGCTGCAGAAGCTGATGAATCCCAAGATTGGCAGGCAATATGGCAGGCCACTGGCGTAAGTCCCAAGAACCAGAGGTCAGATGATGACTATCTAAATGCAGGACCCAGAGCAAGCAAAAGCCAGTGAGCTTTGCCAGAATGTCCATATATATTGGATGCAGGCCACACCCCCAAGGAAACTCGCCTTGCAACTTACTGATTGGCTGATCACATCAGATCACATCATGAAGGTAGTTAATTATATCACAAAATGGAGGATAACTACATCATTACATAACTGCCAAACTACATCATTATGTAACTGCCAAACCATTGAGAATCATGGCCCAGCAAAGTTGACATAACAACCTTAACCATCACAGACATATTATCATGAAGGACCAGTCCCTGGAGAAGGACATCACGCTTGGTAAAGTAGAGGGTCAGCAAAAAAGAGAAAGACCCTCAACGAGATGGAGTGACACAGTGACTGCAACAGTGGGCTCAAACATAGCAACAATTGTGTTTGGCACAGGACCAGGCAGTGTTTCTTTCTGTTGTTCACGGGATCACTATGAGTCAGAACTGACTTGAGGGCACCTAACAACAAGAAGTCCCACCTCCCTTGTGATTGGCTTAAGGGTGAATAATAATCCAGGGCTAAGCATATCAGCACATGGCATTCCCCCAGTCACCATGATTGCCTCAGGCTTTTCCAGTTAATGGGAGGACAGGATTTTTGTTTGGTGGTTGAAGACTCTCTCCTCAATCCCTCTGGACATAATGAGGAAGTACGTAGGCCCAATTGCCGTTGGTATCAAGTCTGTAACTACTAGGGGCGCCAGCCCTAGAATGAAGCTGACACTGACAGAAGCTGACACAGAGAGGAGAGACAGAAAGAAACAGTGTCCTAGTAACTGAACTGCGAGAGCAACCAACCCCAATGCCCTCTCTACTGCTGAGTTTTCAGTTACTTGAGCCAATAAATCCCCTTAAAGTTTAAACCAGTTAGACTTCAGATTCCAGTTACTTGCAAGTGAAAACGTACTAATTAATAAAAGAGCAGAGTAGAGCAGAGGGAGATTGGGTCAAGGAAGCAAGCACACAGGGAAGGATGCAAATGAAAGGAAGGGATACCATAGATGAATGGAGGGGCTTACATCTTGGGTAGAAACTCAGGAAAACACAGAAGAGGTATGCTGAGTTTGGGTGCACGACTTTACAAAAGTTAGTCTCTGTTCTCTTGGAGTGGGCTTGGGGGTAATCAGAACAGTGTCAGCGTTGTGGTAGGTATTTTTACCAAAGTTCTTATTTAATCTTCAGAATAACCCAGTGAGGTTGGTATTAATTCCAAAGTGTGGAAAAAGAAACTCGAGACTCACTCAAGGACCCAAAGCTAGTAGTTGGCAGAGGTAAACCCTAGAGAGTTTGACTTCAGTGTTCCAGGTCTTCCACAACTTCCCTCTTGCTACATGATGGCAAACGGGTGGGAATAACCAGAGTGGGCACAAATACTCCTCGTCAGTCCTTCCTGTGCTTCCATCCAGGACCACAGGCAAAACTGACTGGGTCTGTAGGATTGTTTTCCCCTTTCACAGGGATGGCACATCGACAGAATGTGCGGTGCTGTGTTTGTGTACAAAACACCGATGGGGCATGGGCTACCTGGGCAGACAAGACAGCTTATGTATAAAGCCAACGTTAACACAGGTGAAAAGAACAGCCACAAGGTGCACTGAGGAGGGGGAAGTGACTCAAAGATTCCTGGTGAGATGAACAGTATCTGATGTTAACTGTCAAGCATTGAATGTCAGACTTTGGCGCATCTGCATTTTTTCATTTCAGGAAATGCATTTTTTTTTCATTTTAATTTATTTTTTGAATAGTTAATGCATGCATGCAGTACATACTCAAAAGGTGTACAATGAAAAATGTCTTCCTTCTTCTGTCTGCCAACAATGACTCCATCCCCCTCCCTGGAGGCAACCACTGTTGACAGAATCATTCCTTCTCCTGCCCGCCCCTCATCCTTCGTCTCCTCCCCCTCTTCCCTTCCCTCCTGGCCTCCCTCCCTCTCCCTCTCCCACTCTTACTATAGGCAGGGTACATCAAGCTGAGTTTTCTTCATTCTGTAGCAATACAGACCCTCTAATGTAGCAAGGTTGAAATGTACACACTAAAAACCAGATATACCAAAAAAAACAGTAACTTTATTGTCTCGAGTAACTTCTTGCCGGAAAGACCTCATTCCTGACGAAGGTGGAAAGCACTTGATCTTGACAGGTAAAGGCATCTCAGTCACTTTCTGTTTAAAACAGTCTCCTTTGGAAGTTCCTCAGTGGATACCCAGGGGCTAAGGGGGAGTCATTGCTTAGGGAAGCACTAAGTTTCTGCTAAGGGTGATGGAAAAATTGGGAAGTGGATAGTGGTGATGGTTGCACATAATATGATGAATGTAATTAATGTCACTGAATTGTACGCATGAAAAAATGTTGAAAGGCAAATGTTTGTTATACATCTTTTTACCGTAATTCAAACAAAAAAAGTCTCCTTTGGGAAATCACTCAGTCTTTCAGCATTTCTCCCTCATCCAAGGGTTCTCTTGTCCCCCTTCCCTTTCCCAAGTTGTCACCCTGGTGGAGGGGAAGCTTACAGGGCAGAGGCAGAGGAGGGCCGCCTGCATCCTCCAGGCCCTTCCGGCCTCCCTTGCTGAGGAATTGGTCTCTCCTGGCCTTTGGGCTTGTGTTGATTTCAGTTACTGATAGCCACCGTCCCTGCCATAGCCCTCAGTGGCAAAGATCACACACCCTGACCTTCTAGGCCCAAGCCCAGTCCTCTTCCAGCCCATTCATCCTGTCAGCCTTCCTCTTTCCCCACTGGACCATCTACACGCTGGGCACACACCAGGGGAAGCTGAAGCACTAGCTCAAGGCCTCTCTTTGCCTCCCCACAACATGCCTGCTTCTCTGTAGCTGCCCCAATCCCAAATGGAAAGCAGGGTGAACACGTCTTCTGCTTTAGGACTCCCCCTCCACTCATCTGGGGCAACCCTGCACTCATACCCTCTGAATCTCCTCACTTCCTGCCTGCTGCTTAAACTTCATCTCCGTTTTCAGTCATGGGAAAACAGCGCTGACATCATATCCTGTGTTCTTCCCCGCTCTATCTGTGATCTGTTAAAGGGCAGTCCTCCAAGCTCTGCCTCATTAGTATATACAAATACATTTTTTTCTTTCTACAAAGTCTAGCTTTTGCTCTTCAAAAGCACTTGATTTCAAACTATTGTCTTGCTATGAATTTTTTCAAGTTCTATTTTGAAACACTAACCAATGACTTACCGGTTCTCCGCTGAGTTTTTTTCTCCCCGTGACTCAAAGTATGCCATTGACTCAATAGGTGGGGGAGCCACGTGGACAACGAGGGTTTGCTGGGAACGAAAATACACTGGTTTAATATCTCACAAATGTTATCTCCATTACATCAGCATAAGGTTTCCAGCGCCAGCTGAAGGGAAGCCAACGTCAGTGTGGTAAATGCTACTGAGTTTTCATGTGGTAACATGGGTGCACTCACTGCATGTGAAAACTTCATGGACCTCAAACTGAACCTCAGAAAAACAACTACTGATTCTTCCACTATCCACCCAATTATTCAGGCACAAACCTGAGTCATTCTGGTTTCCTCTCTTTTCTTCATACCCTGCATTGTATCAACCTGCTATTCAGGGCCACCAAAGGGAGGGGGAGCTTTTTTCTAATTTCCATAAAGGCACTGTATGGACCAGCAGCAGCCTTGTTCTAATATCCTACGTCAAGCCACCAACGTGTCACCTGGACTTCTGCCACAGTCTCATCCCTGGTCCCTCTGACTCTGGCTTCCTACAGTCCATTCTCCACTAAGCAGAGTTATCTTTTGAAATATAAATTAGATCATATCACCTCCCTGCTTCCTGGCCTTGGATCTTCCCATAGCTTCCCATCATTCTTTGATGTGGCTTTGCCTCCCTCTATAGCCTCATCTTATTTCCTTCTAAGCCTTCCATCTTACTCTGTTCCAGCCATACTGCCTTTCCTTCTGCCCTCAAACACACCAGATTCATTTCTACCCCAGGTCCTTTGCATGTACTATTTCTCTGCTAAGAGAACTCTTCCTCAGCCTGTCACACTGCTGTCTTCTTCTCAGCGTTCTGGTCTCAATTCAGATGTCACCAGCCTTTCTAAGTAGCCACACTGCACCCCCCAGAAACCCAAACCCGTTGCTGTTGAGTCAATTCCAACTCATAGCAACCCTATAGGACAGAGTAGAACTGCCCCATAGGGTTTCCAAGGAGCAGCTAGTGGATTCAAACTACAGACCTTTTGTTTATCAGCCAAGCTCTTAACCAGTGTACCATCAGGGCTTGGGTACCATTTATCATATCACTCTATAACTCTTCATAGCCCTTAATTCCTGAAAAGTATATTATGTATTTGTTGGTTTATATGTTTATTGCCAATCTCAGTGGCAACTGGTTGGCACATAGTAAGCACTCAATAAATATCTGTAGACTGAAGCCAACTAATTCCAACCAGAAGAGAGAAGAAGGTAATATTTTTTTTTAACTCAACAAGCTCTAAAGGGATACCATTTTATTAGTTTACCATTGAGAAGAAACCCAATTCTGCCTGTTTCTATGCAAAGGAATCATGATCAATGGGGCTTTCTGGTGAGAAACTTGGCCGAAAGATGGGACTAGAGTCTATATCAATGCCACAGAAAAGAAGCTTTTTCAAATAATCAAGTCAGATCAAAGTATAAATTGTCGGCCTCATTCACCAGGTGTAAAGTCTGAACAGTTTGCACATGTGTTTGTGTGTGCTTACCTGTTGCAGGTCCCCCGCTGTTTTAGGGCCCCTTGATTGCTCAAGCTTGTTTACTTGATTTCTTTCATTTGAAATGAGGCTGAGGAGACAGGGCTGATCAGAGGCAACCAGTAAAAACGGGGCAACATAAATGATTTTTCAACGCACGCTCTCAAACAACCACCAACAACCTTTAGGTATTTCTTGTATTTTCAAGACTGAAAAACTAAGCTGTCCCTTGATGTGTGCTAACAAATTTAAATAACTGATAACATTGGAAAGTTCTGAACAGCTGCACAAACACCAGAGCAGAGGCTTTAAAACTCTTGCTCTGGGTGACGTGTTTTAGAACAAAGATGCAGGGAAACGAGACCTCTTCTTAGTCACAATAGATGACGTGTCACAGGATCTGACTCTACTGTTTAAGGTTCATTTTTTATCCCGGATTCCTCTTTTAAAATGCATATATTCCTGGAAATATATTAGGCAAATTCATGAAGATATTGGAACTGATTAGATCCGTGTTCCTCATAGTGGGAGAGATTAGCATCGAGAGAGCCCTGAAAACAGAAGAAAGAAATGCAACAGGGAGGGCGGAAGTACCAACTCCGGCTTTTCTGAACCTAGAATGAACTCCTCTGGTTTAAAAAAAAAGATACAGAACCAAGATCATAAAGCGCTCGGCTACTAACCTCAAGGTCTGCGTTTCAAACCCACCAGCCACTCCGTGAGAGAAAGATGTGGCAGTTTAGCTACGAAAAGTAACGCCTATGGCAATTAGTTTTCAATTGCTGAATGATAATGGAAACTGCTCGTTAGCGCCCCTCCTCAAGGGGGATGTGGCCATCTGTCGGTGGGAAATAGCGCCTGTGACATTTAGCTTTAAATTGGTGAATGATCTCTGGTGATGGCCAATGGAAACTGCTCGTTAGCGCCCCTCCTCACGAGGCATCCAGGGCACACGCCCTACCCACCATACCTTACTACACCTCTGCACAGTGCTCCCGTAAAGATTTCAGCCTAGAAAACCCTGCAGGGGCAGTTCTACTCTGTCCTGTGGGGTCACTAAGAGTTGGAATCGACAGCAACAGGTGAGATTATAGAGGAGTCCCTGGGTGAAGCAAACAGGTAAGCGTTAGGCTGCTAACGGGAAGAAGCAGATGGCCTCAGGAAGAAAGGCCTGGCAGTCTGCTTCCAAAAGGTCACAGCCATGAAAACCCTGTGGAACAGTTGTACTCTGCACACGTGGGGGTTGCCATGAGTCGGAATCAACTTCTCAGCAACTGGTAGTTTTATCTACAGTAGCTGTTGTTGTGGGGAAATGATTTTACGAGTGACTTTCGTGAGGTGAGTTACTTAGTCTGAGAAAATGGTAGCCCTTCAGATTTTTTAAGCCTCAAGTGTTACTATGCACTATGAATTTTGATTGATTTTTTTTCAGTCAGGGTCTCAACAGGAAACAGATGGCACACTTGTATTAAGATAATTTGAGGAGGGTTTATTTTCAAAGGAACCATTTACAAGGGAAATGCGGGTTGGGTCGGTGGGGGATGTGTAATGGAATCACAAAGTATAGTCTAGGAACTAGGCGTTAGAAGCAGCGAAGTGATCAACAGCCGTAGGCTCTAAGAGACAAGAGGCAGGCAGAGTATCAGAAGCTGGAAGGGAGTGTCATTGGAGCACCTTGAGAGGAGCAGTGACTTTTACTCAAGGGACACAGCCAGCCAGAGGCAACCTCTTGAAAAAAAAGCCAGGGGAGTAAATACCTTGACTTCTCTCTTCTCACTCCCGCCGTCTTCCGCAAGGGCTCCCATTGGCCAAACCCAGCTGTAAGCCAGAGGGAGGCGAATGTGACAAATCAGACATTCACTTCCATTCTCTAGAAAATAACTCCAAGTGTAATTCTAGTTGATAGTGGTCAAAGGCATAAACTTCACATGCAAATAACAACATACAAGATTAATAATTTGTTTTATTGAACATATGCCTGTATTTTTTACAAATTTCTGGGTGTTTGTGATGTGTATATACCAGAATGTGGTTTGAAATAGCTTCTTAATATTTTCTGCCAGTCTGTCCTCTGTCTGCATAAGTTTGTCTGTGATGGCCTTCACTGAACAAAAATCTTTAATTTGGGCACAGTCAAATCGGTTAGAATTTTATCTTACAGCTTGTACTTTTTGGGTCTGATTTAAGTTGTTTTTTCCCATCCCAAAGTCACAAAGATTTTCTTCTATTAGTTGTATAGCTTTATAAGAGGTTATAAGGCACTCAAAATATGTCATTATTATTGTTGTTAGCTGTCATCAAGTCGACCCCATCCCACAGGAACCCCATGCACAATGGGATCAGGCCATTTTAATCCACAGGCTTTTCTTTTGGCTGATTTTCAAAAGTAGGTCACCAGGCCTTTCTTCCTAGTCCATCTTAGCCTGGAAGCTCTGCTGAAACTTGTTCAGCATCATAGCAACACACAAGCCCCCACTAACAGATGAGTGGTGGCTGCACTATTGGCCAGGAATTGAACCCAGGTCTCCCACGTGGAGGATGAGAATTCTGCCAGTGAACCACCACGGCCCTCCCGAACATTGTCTAACATACTACTGGTCATATAGACGGAGCTTTATAAACAAAAATTCTCCTTCCATTTCCAGCCCTGTTTCTCTGGTAGTGAATTGAATGGCCGCTCTGGTGTGGACTGGTTGGTGGCTAAGAGAGACCTTTCTGGTCTGGGCATGAGCAAGTCGGCAGCACGCTCTCTATCTACTCAGCTATTGCTCTACTCCAAGCCACCATTAAAATTATCTCACTGGACTTCTGCAGTAACCTCCTAACCGGCTTCCCTGCTGTTACCCTGGGCTTTCTCCTATCCATTATCAGCCCTGTTGCCAGAGGAATTTTAAGGTCTCAGAACAGTTCTGGCACATTGTAAGTGGTCAATAAATATTGGTTATTATTATTATCATTGTAATCATTATTACTACAGAGCTTAGCATTTATAACACTTACTAAAATAGCTATAAATGAATGAATATGTTTACTGTTTATAGTATTCATTTTACCAGTCAAAGGCTACCCAGAAAGCCTGTATTGTTTCAAGCCCACTTTTTATGAATCTTTTGATTTGTAAGAATCAAAGACTAAGAGCCTGTCCTTGATTATTCAGAATCTGTCATGGTTCTGAGATCATCATTCCACACAAGATGTAAGTAGCTGGAGATTGATCTCTATAGGCTCTATCATAAATGTCCTAGGATTTTTTTTTTTTAACTCAGCCTCTGATTTAGCATATTTTAAATTATTATTTGCCTTTTTTTCCATAGAAGTCAAGTGCATTGTATCCATCAGCGCCCAGGAGACAGAAGCCACATGGTAATGTGAGCAGGGAGAGTTTAATATAGAGTATATTAACCAGAAACAGGGGCAAAGAATACAGGAACAGTGGGTAATAGTGGATGCGGGGAGCAGCTACTTTCTCTAGGACAATGTTTCTCAATTTCTTTTCATTATTGTTCCCTGAAGGAGCCTTTATATATATATATATATATATTTCTTATTATTCCCCCCCCCAAGGAAGTTTAATACTACAGATATACTGTATATCTGTTTATTGGGACCCTTTGGAAGGCCACAAACCATTGTAATACTGAAGATATTTCAAACCAACAAGGAATTAAAACCTGGCATATCCAGGGAGTCTCTGCAAGTCAAATAAAGCACCCAATAGAAACAGTGACAAAGGTGAAAATAGCAGTTCACGGAAGTGGAAACCCAAATTCCTAAAGAAAGATTTTTAAGAGAAGTTCAATGTCACTAGTAAACAGAGAAATTCATATTAAAACTATCTGAGATGCCATCTTACAACCAATAGTTTTGCAAAAATTAGAAAGTTGGGCAGTATTTGGCAGTTATGGGAAAATGACAACCCTCGTGTGCTGCTGTACAAGTAATCTAAAGAGTACTTTGGCAGTATTAATTATGTGTACGTGTGTGTGTGCACACGTGCACGTGTATGCCCTATAACCAGGAATCCCTCTCCACACAAGTTCATAAGGAGACATATATGAAAATGTTCATCACAGGGTTGTTTGTGGTACAAGGAAATGAGAGGCAGCCTGGGGACCCATCACTGAGAGGATGGATACATTAAAAATATCAGACACATGCAACCACATGCAGCATTTAGAAGAAATTAGCTAGATGTGTGTAAAGCAATATGGATAAAACTTAAAAACAGAATCGGGTTAAAAAGCAAGAAACTGAATGAGAGCCTCTGAACAATATGGAATTTAAACACATACGTTAATAAGGCAACATTATATAAAAAAAACAACTTGAGGGTACATGTATACCCAAGATCATATTAAATACATTACAGTGGCTGCCAGTGCTGGGGGTGAAGGCGGAAAATAATAAAGTAAAATAAAACAGAAAAGGCCTCACGTGGATGACGATAGTGTACTGGGAGCTGAGGGAGGTGATTAACTCAAGTTTTTGCACTGAAAGTCCACAAGAAAAAACAGAAAGATTCTTGAAGTTCTTCATCCCACGAACGCAATGGTATGCCTGCTTTCTGAGATAGTCCACGCAGCTGTGTGAGCAGCCACTCCAGGCTCCTCTGTCCAGCTGCTCCTGCAGGTCTCCAGGGACACTGGAGCAAAGCACAAGCCCACGTAGAGTCAGAGGGTGGGAGTAAGACAGAGTGGAGGATACGCTTATAAAGCGAGGTCTATACAGCAGATGTCTCAATGCCGCCTTATTTATGAAAAAAGGAGTGTGGTGCGAGAACAAGAACAAACGTGCTATGGTGTCAGATCAGTGACACAAGCTTGGTTATTACCATCAAGCAAATATACATATATATATATATATATATATATAAAATCTGTATATATATTTGAAATATTATCTTACTATGAAAAGCAGAAGAGAGGAGACAAACAGGTATCTCCAAGTCATCAGCAAAGAAATTTAGTTTGCAAAGGTGGATTATTTAGTATTGTCAGGCAATATAAAATGCATATATGTATATATGTATATATACACACACACATATGTATGTGTATATATAAAATTTTTATTTTTTTTTTAAGTGAATTAATCTTAGGATTGTGTTTGCTTCAAATTGTCTTCAGTCAAACAGGAAACATAAAAGAACCTAGCTGGATTCCAGGCCTCTGTCTTTTTAAGGCTGCCAGGTCTGTCGTCTTGGAAAGAAAGAGTGGACAAGACTGAATTATTTCTTTGCTTTCTGAGAAGGGGCTTGTCTGACCCAAGTCTACACAGCTGCATACACCACCTGTGGAATGAATCTGTTGCCCTTTTCCTGTTAACTCTTTCTCATCTCAAACTGCCTGCCTACACAGAGGATTGCTGGGGATTCATATGGCTTTTGTTTTCCTTAGCTTTAAGACTCAGCAGCCACCTCACTTAGATTACACTAAAAAGTAACCGCAAACTGCTTTTAAATGGGGGTGAGGGTTAGGGGTGCGAAAGTGAGGGAAGTGGGGTGAATTCTTGATTTTTTGTGACGAATTATCACTTGATTCTTCCTCCGAGTTCTCTTTTGTACTTAAAATCCCTTTCTTTTGCCAATAAAGTGAGTGACTTTGTGAACTGTACTCATTCAGAACACTTAAATATTTGAGAATTTTTTTGGCTACCATTTTATTTCAAGATGGTAGACTCATCTGCAGATTTAACTAAAGGTATAGCAAGATATCCTTTAGCAGCGTGCCAAATTTAATTAAAGAAGATTAACTTGAAAAGTATATAAAGGCATACTACTGAACTAAAACTATCACACAAATCTTAGAATTTTACAGAAGAATTGAACCTTGGCAATCATTGACTATTTCTCAATCTCTTTCCCCCTGCCCCCATACTGTTTACATTTACAACATACTCAGTAACATCTCTCCTACATAATGAGTCTTAATTGGGAAGGACAAACACAGGTATTGTAGTTTGGAACTATCCCCTTTCTCCTTCCATATACAAGTTTATGAGATTTTAGAAACCATTTGGTGCTGACTGACGACAAAAGTAGAATGCTGGTTCACAGATCTCTCCTGTTTTTTTAATCA